CATGGAGAAACATAGTCTCAAGTGAATGAGACTATGAGAAATTCCAGCAAACGATTCATGCCACCCTGATACAGGTACCTAAAATGGGTGAGTCACTATGCATGGCTACTTCTCTCTTGCTCCATCAACCAGAACAGCAACCTAAAGGATTTGCTTAAACATCCAGATTGCACATGGTTAATGTTTGGTTAGAAGAGTCCACCCAGTCGACTGACACGTTTGGATCAGACCCAACAAGGGCATGTGCATTTGGAAGTAGAGTTTGCTGGGAAAAAAAATTAGTTAAGCCTTTTTATCTGGAGAAATGTCTGTAAAGCTGCTTGTCTGAATTTAAACTTTTTTTTGTCAGTGTAGGGGGACCATGTTGGTTCTAACTGACTGCAGAAGATTTCTCAGTCCAGAATGGAATTTGTTGTCAAAATGAAGAAAAGGCCCCAACCACAAGATAGCCTTGTGGTGATCCACTTGAGATAGGAGACATCTATAGGATAAGAGTGGGTCTTAACAGTCAGGTATCAAGGTCAGTGGGCTAATACATGCTGTTGTTAGTCTCTTTCTCTTGTTGTTCATGTAAAACATTAGGGAGTCATGGCTTTATTCTAGCACAGACCAGACCAGACCATTTTTACAATAGAAGTTTTCACAGGGTAGAAAATATTAGTTCCCCTTTCATCACTCTGTAAGAATATTCCAGAGGGCAGACAAAAATCTGCACTAAATACCAGTTGACTTTGCGTTTTGGCTTCCTTGCAATGGCCAATATTATCTTTTCTAGGCTAAAGAGAGTCAGTTCATTCAGTTTTGACACTGTGAGATTTAGACATACTCTACTATTTATTGTCTGGGCCACTGCATTTGTCTCAGAGCCCCAGCAAGGGACTGAGCCTGCAGTGTGCTGCATCATGCAAAAACAACTAAAACGACAGCCTCTCACCCAAAGTGTTTGCAAGACCTGAGGTTTGTTTCCAGAGCTGAGCTGTAGTAAGGCTGCAACAGCAGCACCATGCTGTAGTCCAACCTCTTTCTTCAGGCAGAGATGTTTGAGGTGAGGCAGAAGAGCTGCTGTGTTTTTCCTCCTTTCATAACGCTCAGTAAGTGCTGAGGTTCTCCAGAGCTATTGCAACTTCGCAACTCTTTGTTCTCAAAGCTTATTTCCTTCACGTTTTTCTCCTTCTTTCTGGCCTTTTAGCACATCTGGATCTTTTAGATTTCTCTTTATGTGAATATCGCCCTTATTTTTCTCCCTATTTTCTCTCAGAAAGTTTCCCCACATTGTTATCTGCAACTCCCATCTCTGCCTGGTTGCTATTCTTTTTCCTGAGCTCCAAGTGGTTTGCATGGTGGTTTCTGCTGTCATGTTTTTATCAGGCAACCTCCAGTAACATTCCTGCATTCACCCTTTTTTGCCCAAGGTTTTGTTTACCTTCTCTATCTGTGCTGGGTCCGCATGTTTTGGGGCTGTTGGATTTCTCATAATTGCGAGGTTTGAGGATTTTTTTTAAAGGGTTGGGTTTTTATCTAACTAAGATGTATGTTTCTCTTTTCTTCCTGCATTGGACGGTTCATTTTTAAAACTTTCTTTTAATCAAATGAAAGGAATTAAAAATGAGGAGGGAAAGCCCAAGAATTTAAATTCCAGTCTTCTTTCTACCACAAGGAACCAAGAATTCTTTCTATTTAAGACAGTCACAGATTTTATCATTGTGACTGGTTTCCATTAACTTTGTAAGTAAAAAGACATTTAGTAAAGTTGAAAGCTGTCTCTTATGTGATGACAGACTTTGCCTGTTTTAATATTTTTACTGGTTAACTACCAAATCCCGAGTCTACAACTGTCTACAGCCAAGTGTTCACTACTCCTCTGGCAAGAAATGTGACTTAGAAATATATCTTCCATACTAAGCCTTTGAAAACGTATAGTATTTTGTGTTAGAAAAACAACAGTTTCAACATGTGAAAGAGATTGTCACAGCAAGGCCTCCCCAAGAGAAAGGAAGAGCAAAAAAAGGGTGCAAAGGGTCAGGCAGAGAGTTTGCTTCAGCAAACACAGGACACAAGAAAGTCTACTTTAATTAATACTAATGAATACATCTCAAGCAGGATGAACTGGATTGAGAAACTGGTTAAACCAAAAATGGTGCCATGTTGGGATACAGTGATGCCAAGTGGGATTTTGTTTCTGGAAGTCAGGACCCAGTTTAGTCCTGTTGAAACCCATGTCATTGCTGTCAGTGAGCAGAATTGAAGCCCTTGTACCCAGCCTCCATCTGCTCCCACACCTGGCATCATGGCCATGCGCAGCTGATACCACTCCTCGCCTCACTCAGGGAAATGGGAGCAATGGGAGCTAAAAAAATCTGAGCAGCTTAGAAGAGACATCCAAATATGTGTAACATACAGTCATCTATTCCTGCATTTCTCTCAGCGCCTGGCACATTTCATGCTACAAAAAGAAATATCCCTGGACATACTGTAATTTATTTAATATTCTTCAATGTAAGCAGTATTGGCTGGATGGAAGAGTTACTCTAAGCCCAGGTACAACCGATGGCAAGAAGGCATTGCCAACCCGGTTCTGCTATGAGGAGAAAAAAATCCCATCTATCTGGGAGAGTTATGCTGATGAAAATAGCCATGTAGGTAGAGCTGATGTCCAAACAGCTCCTGCCAGCATGGCTTGTTCAGAGTGACGCCAGTCCTGGATGGCTGCTGGGTGGAGGAGAGCACAGGGTAGCAGTGAAGCTCTCCTGGTCTGCCCGATGGAGCAGGGGGTGAGTTGAGATCCCTCTTTGCCCACCTTGTTTTACCCCTTCACTGAACGAGGCAGACTGGAGGTGAGGCAGGTGTCTGCTTTAGACATTTTGCTCTGCCTGTGAAATGAGAAGTTTGCCCTTTCAAACGTTGGCTGCAGGGTCTGTCTGGCACCACTGCTACGCAGGGTGTATTCCTTGGGAGCTCAGCAAAGCTATCTTTACCTTCTGCAAACAGGCTGCCTCATGGTTACTAGATGCTGTCAATTTTAGATTACTGGCCAGAGTAGTCAGATTTGGATAGAGGACCGAGATGAGAGGCAAGATGCTCCTGTGTTCCATTTCCTACCTGCCTAGATTTTTCTTCTTACAGTTTCTTGGGAAAGCTTTTCTGTTACAAAAGTTCTTCTCTGATGTCCTTCCACACTGCTTGTTCCCTCAGTATCTGAGCTTCTGAAAGGCTCCAACACTATAATAACTTGCAAAAAAAGAATGAAAGTGGGGCCCATAAATCAAGCTCTGCAAAATTCCCCTCAGAGGGGTTTCTTGGGAAGGGAACCTCACTCCCTCCCTCTTCAAAAGAGACAGATGCCACGTGCTGCAGGACAGGGAGGACGCGGTGTATGAGGAGACACGTGTCGTGCACCGATGGCAGGGCCCCTTCCTCCTTCCCCGGCTGCACAACCGCAGGGCGGTCGATCCCCGCAGGGCTTCCCCCACTGCGGCCTCCCCTTGCGTTGCCCCCCAAACTCCCTCCCAGGCCGTGCTGAAGGCGTCCAAAGGCCAGAGACCTGCAGGTGGGGACTGCAGACAGCCTCAGGCCGTGCCATCTCATCTCAACGCGCCGGCCCCCGCGGGCAGGGATGGCATCCCCAGCACAGCGGGCACCGAGCTCACACGGGGCCTCTCCTCCGAGCCGGGCTGGAGAGCACCCCGTCAACCCGAACACCACCTCAGCAGCCCGCCTGCCCTGCAGAACTGCAGTTTTGGCTTTTAATCCTGAGCGTTTGCTTCTATTCAGATACAACTGTTGCTAATTTCATTCTTAGTTTATTAGTGGAGAAAGGCTTCCCTATTTAATTATTAGAAACAGAGAATCCATAATATACTCAAAGCTGTGAAAACTTAATCCTGGATAATTTTTGACTCTCTGAGAAAAGTCGCTAGAACTGATCTATTCTTTCAGTCAAGTACACCCATTTAGTTTATTTTTAACATTCCTTTCGTTATATTATGAGCTTCTTAAGGATAATGAAATAATTGCTTGTCTCTTTGATTGATCTTTGTTTTGAAAGGAAACTTTAATAGTGTTATTTCTAGAGCAGGCTTACAATATAATACAATTAGAGGAAAACACGACATTAAAACACATTAAAGCACATGTTCCAATAATTAGACCTACAATCCTCGTCAGCTAGAGCACTGTGCAGGGAGGAGTTACTGTAAAAAATTTATGAGGGAAGAATTCATATTATTTTGCTTAATAAGGCAACTATATTAATAATGACATTTATTAACACTCTACAGCTGTAGCAATTGGTGAACAAACTCCTTCCCCAGACTGCTCTGGAAAGCTGTTCACATGCTACAGAGAATCCTGGATTTTGCCATTTTACTTTGTTAACATGAAAACATGTCAGTAGAAATTTGTATAGAGTGCTTTGACAGCTCCAGTCTTTCAGAGGTAAGAATTCTAGTTTGCACAATTCTCTGTGATAGCAGATGATGGGGGAAAGTTCAAAACCTGAGGTAATTGGGTATCTGAAGTGCGGATGTGCATGCATGCAAATTAGAAGAACAAAAAAAAGGAAATAAAACAGAAGAGATCCTCAACCTGGATGCACAGGCTGTCAGCTTGAAATAGAGCTGTGATGATGATTAGACCACAAATGAGATAGTATAGGCAGGCTATACTAAACTGTATAGGCAGGCACCTCCTGCTCCCACAAAGAATTAAAAAATAATTGGGCAGAAAAGCCTTTAATTCTCAGGTGATGACCTCATGTTCTGTTAGGACACTGACATAAGGGCAAGGCTGTAGCACTGGGATCAAGGATTTTCTAAGATGTACTTTATTTCCCACCTTCTGTAACCTGATTTCTCAGTAACAAGGCTGCGATCTCAGATAATCAAAATATTCAGTTTTGGGGTTTTTTTGTCCAGTTGCAGTTGCATTCAATTTAAATATTTGGGGTTTGGCAGGGAAGGGCGGAAGGGTGGAAAATTTTCATTTCTTTGAATCCTAGACCCAATAATATTTTCTTCATGTAAGATCAGTGAAATCACTTAGAGACTGTTTAGTTGGATTCATGCTGGACAAACAGCCTGCCTCTGCCTCGGGGGAAAGGAGAATCAGGTCCGGGGTGTCCCGTGAAGCTCTATGTGGATGTATAATGGCTCGATCCTCTGAAGAGGTTTCAAAGATGCTGTAGTGCTTTTTTTTTTTTTTTTTTATAGCAAATAAGGATTCCCTAACGATAAAGGCTCTATTTAGCATCTGCTCACACGTGGCACTATGAGTGCAAAACCACATCAGCAGTTATGCAGTGCCTGAGAACGTGATTTGGCAACTGTGGAGGGAAAGTGAAGACTCTCAGTGAACCAAGGAGGTTTAGGTCATGCTCTGTACTTGTCCAAACTGGAATCACGGATTTAACATTTCTGCTCTTGAGAAATTTGGTCACTGATTGAAGCTGACCGGCGTTACTTCTGCAACGTAGGTGGGATCTTCTTGTCTTATCTGAGAGGTCTCCTGGCTGTAGGTAGGCTTGAGAAGCAGTTCAAGCCTGGGACTATCTGCACTTCGGAGTTCATGCTGGAAAAAGATACCATCCTTGTTTTTCAGGATGCCTGTAAGCCTGCGTTAGTAAACACAGATGACGGCAATTATGCATTTGGGAGAATCTTGGCACATTGGGACTGACCGTTTTTCTGATGGAGAACTGAGATAGCAGGAGAAACCTTTATCCTCTGGCTGAACAAGAACATCTTGAATCTGTTTATGTGTGTATGAAAAAAATTAATCAAACCTCTACGGGCTAGATTCCTCAAGGATGATAAACACTCGGCTGGCTTCAGAATCCTGCAGAAAAAGTATGGGTTAACCTGGTGAGTTGTTTGACTCTAGATAAACTTGAGGAGCAATGATGTGGGACACGCGTAATGAAATGTTATCACAAGGAGAGGTCAAGTCTTTTCTGTGCATAGAGCAGGTACCGAGTCACTCCAGTTTTACCCACTTGGGTGTATTTGACTTTGTGTTACTAATAAAGCCAATAAATATTACCCCCTCTCTGCTTTTATTTGATGTCCCAGAGGTTGGAACTTCATCTCTGCCAGGATGAGTAAGGATCCTGGCTCAGTGGTAGATAACCTCTGAGTTTCAGTTTAAGGAGGACTAATAGGAAATCAAACACAGAAATCAAACACTCGTTTCTCTGGGAGAGGGGTGGGGGGAAGGTGAGCCCAACCTTGCCTCTGTACGGCTGAAACAGATGATGGTTGAACGTAAAAGTGGTTTGGTTTAGTCTGCAAAGTCAAACCTCGCTTCCTGCTTGGTTCAGTACCCCATCCCAGCTCCCCCACAGCTTGGGACCTGTGGAAGGACACAGCTCAAGTGAGACAAGAAGCTGGTCAAACCTCAGGTTGCTTGAATCATTTTCTCTCACCTCATCATTCCCTGTACAGCAAGATGCTGACGATAGTTACCTCTCAAGGGGTGGATTCAAATCCGCTTCCCCAGAGATCTGAACCTGCATCTCCCACACCTTGGCTGACTGCCTTAAATACTTGGTAAAGTATCTGGATATCTTCCACAGTGTTGTAAACCTAGGCCAGAAATAGTTTCCAGCTGCAACTGTATGACTAATTTGACCCGGGACTACTTTTGGGGGGCAAATGTTTTATTCACAGAAGAAAAATAATTGCCCTCCCCTATTAAGAAGACAGAAGGGAAGAGGCTCTACTGCTACAGGAAATGAGCCATGAGATTTTGTAGACAAGGTTAGGACGCTACACTAATATACACCACCTTTTCCCAAGCTAGAGTTTGAAAAATCCATAGTTCTCCTCCTCATCTCCTCTTGTATATAGCCATATACTTACTTATGTATGGGTTTCCAGGAGATCTCAAAGTCACTAGCAAATTCTCATAATGTGCAGTAGTAATTAGATACATTTCATATCTGTAATCCTTGGGAGTGCAGGTAGGTGTCTCAAATATATAATATCTTTCCAGAAAAAACATTCAAGTTATATTCTTTCATCCTCCTGTGTATGACATCAGCAACAGCTTTTGGGGAGGAAAGGAGAAGGGAGCTTGAAGTACCAGCTCAGAATATCTTACATCAATTTCTTAGTGTGTTTATGTTACATCAATGCACTTGTAGCTTCATATCTTTAGTGAAAAGTTCGTAAAACACTTTGTTCTGTGCAACTTAATGGGTAAAAGTACTGGTCCTAGGTTTTAAAAGGCACTTAAAGTTAGGCTCTTAGGACCATATTTAGGCTTATAAATAAATAACCCATTTTTCACATGTGCTACATTCAGCAGCCTCTCATAGCTTACATGGTTGCAGCTGGAAGGCCAACATTTTTGAAAATCAGGATACTTACGGGCTTGAATGCAGACTTGAGATAAGGATTTGCAAAGGGAGTTAGGTGCCCAGTTTCTACTGAGGAAAGGTTTAGGAGTTTCATGAGCATAACTTTTAAGCATCCATTAGGAAAATCTCAGCTTTGCTGTAAATGCCTCTGGATTCCTTAGATTTCATTCATTTGGCAGCCAGGCACCTAGTTCTGTCGTCTGAACTGAAAGAAATTTGCCGAGTTCCGTATAACTTATATAGTCTTTCTGTGGAAAATAAATAAATCATTCAAATGGAAATACTCACATAGCTGGGCATATGTCCAGATACAGTATGCCTAGCTTAGTGGCAAAAAAGTTACGGCACACATCCTGTATTGTCGAGGACACTGAATGTTTTGGCTGCCCTAATAGAAAAACAATAATTCAATCATGTATTATAAAGGAATTTCCTGGAGAAGTTTGGCCCCACTCAATCATCCTATTAGATTTTTCCTTAATGTGGAAGAACGGCACATTAAATTCATTACATACATTAGGCCAGCTACATTTATTTCCAGATGGGTTTCCATAAAGTGGTTGAAATGCCTAAAAAAAGACGTTTTGAAGATGCCTTTATGTGTAACTCATATAGCATAATAATGACACCACAGTCTTACACCACTGTATGCCCAGTAATTCTTTCTTGCAATGGAAGGACACGTTTAACACAACTAGCTGTAAGTATTTTATAAATCAATAATAATAGGCCCAGGGGGCTAGGATCATTGTTTTATTTTGCTGGCAAGGGCCCACAGGACTGGGATATTATGCAAAGACCAGAGAGGATGTGTGAGGAGATAGTTATGCTAATATATGGCATTTTCCCCCTCCCTCTCCCCTCCCTGGAGTAACTGTCTTAACATTACATGTGGTGATTTGTCCTCAGCAGTTCCAAATTACCTATACTTGCTGGCTCTGGCACATTAAATAAATACCCAATTAAGCATTCTCTATTCACTGAGTATGAGGAAAATGCAGTTCAAAGTGCTCTGCTGCAGCCCTACAACTCTCACCAAGTGTTTTAGATAGCTTTCAGATGGAGAAGAGTTAGATCAATACTGAGGTTTTTGAAAATAGGGCTGCAAAGTGATCTTTATGCAATTTAAGGGATTTAACTTTCCCAAAATATAGCCTTGCACTCACTTGTGGACAGGGTCTGGGATGGTGCTGTTGGAAAGCAGCCCTGCACTCTCTATCAGAGCCTGTAAGGGATGGTGTCTCCACTCAAGCTCCCTAAACAAAATCAGGGGAGGTATTTCTAATAATTAAATAAAGCAAGGGAGGTGTGTCTTCTTCAGAGATGATACTGCCTTTTCATGCAACACTAGCTAGAACCCGTTTCCTTAAAATTTCTCAAAGACCAGAACCTCCCCTTTTTGTGAAGGCTGTCCTATACTGCCTGACTTCCTTCCAGCTGCAAAGCCACAACTCTCAGCAAACTCTCAGTGTTCACAGGTTACTTTTTAATCTCTCAGAATCCCTTAGATGATCCCACCTCGCAGTCACCTTCATCTCATGAACATGCCATGTGTCCTGCTGCCTCTCCCTGGCTCAGACACCTGGATGCTGCTGGTTAGCCAAAGGACCAATGGTCCCTTCCCACTGGGGTCCCAGGCCAGAAGAACAGTGCTTTAAGGGGCAGCAGAGACGCTGTGACTGCAGGTGTTCATCTAACCTAGCAGCAGGTTACCAGCACCCACCTGCTCTTCCTACCCCATCCCACATGCCCAGACCCACGTCCACCCTGTGCCCCTTCAGGGATGCCTATGGCAACCAAACGGTGCAACACGTGAGTCACATGGGGCAGCTTCTCAGTAACAGGATCAGAGATGAGCACCGTTCCTCAGTCATGACCTGCATCTTAACCACCTTGCACCCTCACACCAGGGAATTTTTAAGTAGAAACATTTGTTGTGATTTTTCAATTCCTTCCCATCTCATTCAGAGCAAATCCAGATGAAGGTAATCATCCTGATGGAAATCTCCCTCCTACTTGAGGCTGCTATGAGGACCCTATCAAGGTTTCTGTGCATTTATTGATTATAACATATTAGTACAACCATGTACTTGCTGTACACTGCTCTCTCAGCCACAAAATCAGTACTGTAACAAGTTGGCAGCAACACAGCCAAGCTTAAGTAGAATCCCCCATGAAACTTCCCAATTACTGACTTGTTTGCACCACCAAATTGTACTGTTTTAACTTTCTCTCCATCAGAAAAGTAAAACTGCCTCTCCAGAGGGAAGATGAGTTTAATGTGGGAGGTTGGTGTACACTGTTCTGGTGTACAGCACCTTCTGTGCTGATAACATTGCACACACTGCAGATCTGAAGGGATGGGCTGGCGTACTATCTCAGTAAAAAATCACCCCTGAACTGAAATTGTATAAAATTGCATGTAGACTAGGCTTCAGAAAGACTCATTACTTCAGTAACACACAATACTTAGCTAAATTACTTAGGTTTTGGGTCTACACTTTTGCATATATACAGTGCCCAAACCAGACCAGTGCATAGCTGTGATTCTGAAACAACATAGAGCAGCTGGCCACGCTCAGCTACACTGGGCTGGGCGCTATTTGAGTGCCACTTCACCTGTTCTTCTCTGTTGGGGTTACCAGAAATGTGGAAGTTCCACAGCAGAAGTCTTGACTTATGAAGATATGAAGAGCCCTTAATTACACACAGCAAGTGATGGCAAACTGTCATTTCAACTATACTTGGTGCTGAGAAAGGCTTACTATTCTTGGATCTGTCACAAAAACATTTCAAGTCATTACAATGCCTCTCTCTGCAAAAAGGCATAAGGCTTCAGCATTTCAGTGGGGTCAGTGCAAAGAGTTTCTTCCCTCACCTTCACTCAAGTGTCTCCTAATGATACCCATGGACCCTGCATTTCACTTCAGTACACATATGCTCTCACATATTTCAAAAACATCTACGTTTTATGCATATGTAAATATACCTACTTTGCATTCATGCATGTAATACAAGTATCACTTTCCTAAGTCTACAAGATCTGTAGCTTTACTGGTGCACACGCATGTCCCCTGCATACTTAGAAATTATATCAACAAGATGTATGCGCCAGGATTTTTCAGGAAGGAATCTGAATTGGGTAACAGCTGGAAGACAAGCCAGAAATAGAGATATATGCCCATAAAGTACTGCTACATGCACTGGAGCCCTATGTTGTGTTCCTCCCAGTACTGGCAGCAGGAGCAGGCAGGATGCTGTGGTGGCACCCCAGCTGTCCTTCTGCACACCCAGAGATTTTGAGGAAGGTCTCTTTGGTGTCCCTCTGTATGCTGCTGGTATGATTTGCCTATAATATAATTTAACATATGTTTGGACTGCTTCTGTAGGCTTAGAAAATGTTAAAAACATACACATTTGTAAAACCTCTGGGTTGCCTGACATGCTGGAAACTTGTTAGGTGCCTATAATGCATTTCCTCTGTCAATTTGAATCCTTTCCCTCTTCATTTCTGCCAGGTTTTTTGTAGTCCCAGAGGACAAAATCCTCATCTATCAATTCCAAATTACTAGAACCGTAAGGGTGAGAATATCAGAGTTATTGAAATCTCAGAAACTATAAATGGAGGGTCTATTTATAATATTTTGATATGTGGTCTCCTGCTGTGCTGAAACCAGTGTCCCTGATTTCCAAGCCATAGGTCCTTTGTTCTGCACTGATGGAAACAGTTTCATACAATTTCAGATGTCCCACCGGGACAGTTCATTGTGGTTGTTACATTAATCATTCTTTTCTCTGAACTTGCAATGTTCCTAATTCTAGATCTATGTTTGTAGTCACAGTCCATCTGTAAATTTGTAAGTTCATAATTTTCTTCAACTTCTTTAACAGTCAAACCCTTCCTCATCATTTATGATATTCAGAGAAAAAATAAGGAATTAAATATAGAGTTCAACTGAACAGGTCCTTACATAGTCTTTCTGTATATCAGTTAAATTATATTGTTTATAAAAAAATGGAGAAACCTGACAAAAAAGTTAAATCATTATCAAGTACACTGTTAAAACTAGGTAATAATTTGTTGCTCCTGCTACAAAGAAGATTGGCACATTTTTCTACTTTGTATGTTTTCCAGCCTTATTTTACTCCATCACTAACATCCATTGCTGGAGAGCATAGCTTCTCTCTGAATAAAGCTCTACAGACATACTGAGGTTATAGACTGCGTTCTGATTTCCCGTATGTTAAAGAAATACAGTATGATGCCAATTACTTCAGGGGGGAATGACTCTGGATTTATACCACTGTATCTGAGATCATAATTTGACTCCTTGTGAGTAATTGAGGTCATGTGTCTTCCTTTTTAACTTCACCACTGTAATGCCTACGCCTCATGCTGGAGGGTGAGTAGCTTGAACCATCCCAGATGACTGAGTCATGAACATTTTTTCTAGATGAATACATGAGAGTTTATATGAGAGCAAGTAATTGCTCTTCATATGTGCCTGGGATATTATTTCATTAAGCAAACTACTCCCTGTTCATGCAGAAGCCCTAAAGATCAAGCAGCTGCTAGTGCCAAATTAAGTTTTCCTTGGGGTTAGAGCACAAAGTCAAAACTCTTGGGTCCTTTTTCATTAACTTCCTCAATTTGTGACTTCGGACAAACTCTGTGGGATCTCTGTGCATCAGTTACCCATCTATAAAGTGGAACAAAAGCTTACTTTACAAGGGAAAAAAGATGTGAAAGTTAAGCATGTGGGGCCAAATTCTGTCCTCATACTGAAAGAGCCCCTGGCTCTGTGCTCCTTAACTGTTTGGCTCCATGACATCGCCAAGGAAAGACGGACTTGGTGTAAGTTTGTATGTTTACCCCTGGCTCTCTGGGTCGGTAAAACACTCTGAAATCCTCCAATGAAAGCTGCCCTATAAATACAAAGTGTTCTTGTGACTCAGGTTCACTCTTTGTTTGGGTACAGATTCAACATCTCACTTCCTTGGCTTATGAGACAGGTTGTTATTACAACGCTCTTTCCTACCTCCTAACACCTACTTAAACAGAAATCACTTCTTCTGCTCTCACATTCAGGGCACAGAAATCTATTTAAACTTTCCTTTCAACATGAAGGAAATCATTAAAATCAACCTCAATCCCTCTCCCCCTGAGGGACTGCTGTCTTGTTACACTGAACCTCTACAAGTAAAGCCTACAGCATGTCTTTAACTTTGCTTTTCTTCAGAAGGACCT